TATGTAGTACCGATACTCGCGCGGTCGTCGTTAATCTCGAGGGCCGCATTTGATACTCAAGTGTCGGCTGACACGCGCCTTGAGGGTTAATCTCTCAACGCTGGACAACCGCCAAGCGCGGTTGAAGACCACGCACCCTCTTCTGCACTTCGTGCAGAGTGGGTGGTATACAGATCCGTACCTGTGGTGGTAGTCACCTCTTACTGCCCTGGAGATGAGCCCCACTCCAAGCCTGGGCAGAAGCCAAGGGGTTTGACTTTGACGGCTGCCACGGACTACAACGTCGAACTATAAAAATTAACAAGCAAAATCATCAAATAAATAAATAAACATCCCACCACTTATATATCAAAATATATATTGAGATAACAACAAAAGAAGGGGAAACATAGACCCATCAGGTATGCAGATCGTGCGACACATGATTGTCATTCTCACTGCCTCCAAAGTATGGTCCATATACCAAGCTCCAAAAAATACTGACCTGCATAAAATACAGATACACATAATAGCCACATTGCCATACACCAATGTGGTGAACTTTACTATTCTCTGTAACTCAGATCATGCCTCACATACTCAAGCGTCAGTCATAATTCAACTCTCCATAAATCTCATAACTTCTTTGTAATGACCATTAAAAAAAGTTCGGTTAAAATCCTCAAAAAAACATATCAAATCACAGGGCTAAGGCGGTAAAGTTGAGGTACAGGTGTATGCAAAGTTGTGTCGTGAGCCGATAAGTCGGCAATCAACCAACCCACCTGTTATCAGTGATAACAGAAAATTATCCTCGTAGGATCAAGCTGAAACTAGTCCAAATCCTGAGTCAAACGATCAAAAGAACCTGTAACACAAGACATGTCAACGCCCTAAGCTAAAACCATAAGCCCCTGGAGAGTTGTCCCCATACCACAATCTCTCTCAGAGTCTCTCCTCATAGCTAAGCCTAAGTCTACCTCTAAGCAAGCGCCCAAAGAAAGGTAGACTCATGGAAAAATCTCCCCTATCCAGGTTGGATTACCAGAATCGCGACATGTCGAAATATAATTCAACTCCCTTAAACTAAGAAAATTTCGGCAGCGCTTCCCGTAGGAAAAATGTCTTCCCAGAATTTATACAAGCTCAAATATGAACACTGAAATAATCTCTAACTTAAGAAAGTCCAATTTTTTCCAACTCCCTGTTTTAGCAAAAATTTGGGCAGCACTCCCTTTAGAAAAAGAGACCTTCCAGATTTTTACTAAGTCGGATATAAAGAAAAAACAAGTTGAACTTTGACAAGTCAAAAATTGACTAACTCATTGGATTTGTAGAAATTTCGGCAGCGCTTTCCGTAGAGAAAGTAGCTTGTCAAGATTTATACAAAGCCAAGTATAAAAAATGATCCCAGAAAATGCAAGAATTGACCTAAGTAAAGAAAACTATCACAGAAAATGCAGGAATTGAAACTAACTCCTATCGCTCTAGCACGTGGCGAGCATCTAAAACAGCTACCTACCAATCTGAAACTCAGATTAGATAGTCATCTCACTCAGCCACATGCAGGCCAAGCCACAAAGGTAAGTACTCTCACCCGCCCAAAGTAAATCTGGACAAACAATAGTTCATAGTCTTTCATGATTTTACCCTTTATACCCAGCTTACATAAGGCATAAAGTCAGGTCACCCAAACTTATGGAATGAGTCCAACTTAGCCAAAGTATACACAAACACAGGGCATAACAACTTTTCTCTTCTTTGGGCATATGACTAGGCCATTCTAGTCGCCCTGAACTGTTTAAGGTATCCAAGTTATATATAATTGTCTGCACTTAGTCTTCTAAGGTTGCATATGACTGAACCAACCTTAAGTTCATTCTGCCCCATCTTACCACCAATTTACTCTTAATTAATACTCTCTTCAGGTTATGATAAGCTATAGTCAGACTGCCTAAACTTATAGAATAGTCTGAATGACGTGTTCTTAAATAAAATAATAATAGAGTATAGCCAAATTATAACCTTTGGGTTCCAGCAAGTGCGGGCTTTGAGTCAGACCACCTGAACTTACAGAACAGTCTGGCTCTCTGCCTGATTCGTTTCTCTCTGATCCAATTTGTGCGTGACATTGGGCTAGATCACCTGAACTTACAGAACGATCTGCCCTCTATCAGGTTCATTTTCTCCGAATAAAAGCAGGAAGAGGCTAAGCCACCTAAGCTTATAGGACAGCTTGGACCTCCTCGTTCAAAACCAAATAAGCAGAAGGAAACCCCAAGTAAATCAGGCGACCAAGGCACCTGAACTTACAGAACGCGCTTGGTCCCTGAAAAAGTCAATCACATTCAACCTTCCCAAATCAGAGCAGTCAGGCCGCCTAAACTTATAGAACAGTCAGACCCTCTATGCAAAATCACAGCACTGGGTCTCCCCAAACTTATGGGGACTTCCTAGCCTCCAGAGCAATCAGATCCCCTAAACTTATAGAAGGGTCTGACGCTCAACTCACGACCAAAATAAACAAAGCACTGAGTCTCCCCAAACTTATAGGGACCTCCCAGTGCAACGAGCGTGAGGCTGAGGGTGAGCCGAGGGAGAGGAGAGAGAGGGGGAGAGTGAGAGCACACACACACACTCACTCACTCGACACGACGGACTCGGACTGAGGATCGGACGCAGACACAGTGGCAAGGCACAATGTCGAAGTCTTGGATTCCCGAATGCCAAAAACAGCAAGTCACACTGAGTACGAGTACAGCAGCAGAGAACTGGTACTAGACTGGTCCCCGTACCGTACGGGGAGCCGATATAAGTACCGGCGACACGTACGGTACTAGGGGCATTTCTGCAAAGGCCCCGAGGGCAGAACTGAAAAATGCAGTATTTGAAAGTGGCGCCCGAATTGCAGCATGGCGCCAGTTGTCCAAAATCCTACGGTACCAAAGGAGGGGTTTGGAAAAAGGGTGCCCCGCCGAAAATGGGATGCAGCTGAAACAACAAAAGATAGACCAGGGATCGAGGCCTGGCGGAGTCCGTAACACTATCCCCTCCCTCTAKAAGGCAACGTCCCGGCTGCCAAAAATCATGAAACAATGCTGAAATCTGTGAAGGACGGGACRGGGCCGATCACTGGTTAACAAGTCGAAAGGGAAGAGGGGTATAATGTGGGTGGCAGGGGYTGCGGGAGTAAGAGGGAACAGGGTTTGATATCGGTGAACAGAGTTGTCCTACTGATGAACTAGGGGGGGTTGCGAGGAACAGGGTAGTCCTACGAATGAACTAAAGGGAGATAGGGAGCAGGGTGGTCCTACTGATGAACTAAGGTGACTCATGGTTCGCTATAGGTTAAGGGGGAATCGAGTTCAAGGCACAGGGAAACTTCTATTGATGTTCTACTGGGTAAGGGAAACGGTGTTCAGAAAGACAGGGTATTTCTATTGAAGTTGTAGTGGGTAAGGGAAACAATGGTCAGGGGAACAGGGGATGTCTATTGATGTTCTAGTGGGTACGGGGAACAATGGTTAGGGAAACAAGGATCTGCTAATGATGTTCTACGGGGTTGTCAAAGTCATAAAATGTTTGTTCAGGGTGCGAAGGCTTGTGTGTCCGAAGGAGTGGGAAGCAGAATCTCATGTAGGAACAAAGTGTCCAAGTGTCTTGAAAGGGGGTCTGCAGCGGACTTGATCAGGTCTTTGGAGTAGGTGGTAGAAGCGGTCTTCAACAGCTGCGATAGGTAGAAGTCCAAGAAGCGTAGTASTAGTTCAAGTGTCRAAGTCCAAGTGCTAGGGTGCGTCCGGTACACGAACTGCAATGAGGTCTGATCTGGAAGCAAGGAAGTCGCAGACTGATGCAAAGATCCATGTCACAAGTTGCTGCTCCAGTAAGTCCGCGAGTCGGGGATGCTGGCCAATGAAACAGCATGGTGGCCAAACCAGCTGCATAATCTCCATGAACAGTGAGGCAGCAGGCCATCGTCCTCGTGCGCTTGCCATTAGATCCTTTATCGCCGGCGTCACGCAAGTTCACAAGCATTAGATAAGAGAGACAAGGTAGTGGAGAGAACAGATGGGACAAGGCTAGGCGAGGGCAAGGGCAGATCAGACATCAGGAATGAGGATCAAGGGAAGGGTGGACTGGGTTCAAGGGTGTGTGTAGAGCAGGGTTGCAAGGGTTTTTAGTGGGGGTTTATGCCGTAGTGATATAGGTATCTAGGATATAGGATTAGCACGATCATAGGCGCAGAAAAGTTTCATGGCGTTCTTAAGATTAGAGAGAGGTTCTCATGTAGATTCTTCGTCGGGGTATCCGGTCCATTTAACTTTGTATTAAGTGATTGGTTCCGGATGCCTTCAGGGCCTGTGGGTAGCATGATTGGTGGAGGTCTAGGATATGGGCGCTCGGCGAACTGGAGCGGGGATTCATGGTATTCTCTTAGGTACTCGACATGGAAGACTGGGTGGACACGACTCATGTAAGGGGGAAGTTGGAGTTTGTAGTTGACRGGGGAGGTTTGTTCAATGATGGGGAAGGGACTGAGCCACTTGTTCGAGAGTTTCTTGGACAAACCTTGTTCGGGTTCAAAGCGTTTGGCAGAAAGCCAGACTTTGTCCCCTACTTTGAATGACACGTCCCGTCTGTGTTTGTTAGTCTTGTTGGCTTGTTGTTCTTGTGTTCTTTCAAGGGCTTCGGTTGCTTCTCTGAGGAGTCTGTTCATTGTTGCTATCCATTCATTGAGAGAGGGGCAGGGGGTGGAGGGGCTGAGCTGCGAGGGAAGCAAGAAATCAGAGGGCAAGCGGGGATGGTAGCCAAGGTCGAGGTAGAAAGGGGACATGCCAATGGAGGGCCAGACAACATTGTTGTAGGCAATTTCGGCGGCTGTGAGCAACTGATCCCAATCGTGTTGGTGTGGATGACATTCTTTGGAGTGTATCGTTCATCTTCTCTGTTTGTCCATCGGTCTGTGGGTGGAATGCAGTGCTATACTTGAGCGTGGTTCCGTAGGCCGTGAAGAGGTGTTTCCAGAATTGTGAGAGGAAGCGAGGATCACGGTCACTGATGATATTCTCGGGGAGGCCGTGATGGCGAGCAACATGGTCAAAGAAGAGTGTGGCGACGTCTTTGGCACTGTGCGAGGTCGTGCAAGGGATGAAGTGGGCACGTTTGGTCAAGCGGCAGACAATGATGTAGATGCAATCATGCCCGCGGTCGGTCTTGGGGAGGCCGCACACGAAGTCCATGGAGATGGACTGCCACCGGTGAGTTGGGATGGCCAATGATTGGAGCTTGTCGGGTTTGGCCCGGTTCGAGGGGTTGACAGCTTGACACGTGGGGCACGAGCGAATGTATGCCTTAACGTGGACGAGTAGGGAAGACCAGTAGAAGTAGCGGGAGATGGTGTCGAAGGTCTTCTGGAAACCGAGATGTCCTGCGGTCTTGGCATCGTGGTGCTCGGCCAAGAGCTGAGTACGGAGGCCTCGTGCGTCGGGGATGCRAAGTCGGCGAGTGCCTTTGGTATCGATGTAGAGGAGATTGTTGTGAAGGGAGTAGTCGGGAACTGAGTCAAGATCGCGGAGCTTGTTGTAAATGGTGGCGAAGTCTGAGCAGGAGAGATAGCCTTGGGTGTATCGGTGATGAAGTGATGGAGGGAGTTGAATATGAGTCATGGTGGCGTAGACTTTCTCGGGGGGCTTGTGGTCGGGTCGTCACGAGAGGGCATCGACAACGCGGTTGCTTTTGCCGGGGGTATGGCAAATGGTGAATGTGAACTGGGCAAGGAAGTCTAGCCAGCGGGCTTGGCGTGGAGTGATATCTTTCTTGGAGAGGATGGAGGAGACGATGGTGTTGTCAGTGCGGATGGTGAAGTATTGCCTATCGAGGTACGGACGCCAGACTGTGAGGGCGTGAATCACGGCGAGGAGTTCCTTCTCGTTGGAGGGGTAMTTCATCTCCGCGGGAAGGAGCTTCTTGCTTGCGAAGGCGATAGGGTATTCGCCAGGTGGAGCCTCGGGGTGAGTGGGCGAGTCCTTGATGGAGGGGGTCTCGGCGGTGTCGCGGGGGAAATGTTGGGACAGTACGGCTCCGATGGCGAAGTCGGAGGCGTCAGTGGTGACATAGAAATGGCGAGTGGGGTCGGCGATCTTGAGGACAGGGGCTGTGGTGATGGTTTGCTTGAGTAAGTCGAAAGCTTGTTGGCGACGATCGTTCCAATGGAAAGGCTCGTCCTTGCGGGTGAGTTTGTGGAGAGGGTAAGAGATCTCGGAAAAGTTGCGAATGAATGGGCTGTAATATTTGGCAAGGCCAAGGAAGGAAAGGAGTTGGAGAAGGGTCTTGGGTGGAGGGTACTCGACGAGGGCTGTGACCTTCGAGGGGTCCATATGGATGCCATTAGCGGAGACAATATGGTCGAGGTATTCGACGCTCGAAGCGGCAAACGTACATTTGTTGAGCTTGGCGTAGAATTTTTGCTCTCGGAGGATCGCGAGGACTTGGCGGAGGTGCTGAAGGTGGGACTCGAAGGTGGGGCTGAAGACAAGGATGTCATCAAGGTAGACAACGACGCAGACTTCGAGGAGGTTGTGGAAGATCTGGTTCATGGTGGATTGGAAGGTAGCGGGGGCATTGGTGAGTCCGAATGGCATCACGAGGAACTCGTAGTGCCCGAACCGAGAGCGGAAGGCGGTCTTGTGAGTGTCCTCCTCGCGGATACGGATCTGGTGGAAGCCACTACGAAGGTCGATCTTGGTAAAGTACTTGGCTCCACGGAGACAATCAAGGAGCTCGGAAATCCGAGGTAGGGGGTACTTGTTCTTGATCGTGATCCGGTTCAA